CCGCCAGTCAGCTTCCCGGAACCCAAAGACGGGGGAAGGGAGGGAGGAGGAAGCGGAGGCGGGATCGAAGACGAAGGAGAGACCGGCAAGTGTGTAGTGAAGGATGCCGACAAGGTAGGCTGGAATGAAACGGGTAGGAGGAGGAAGGAAGGAAGGGAGGGAGGGAGGGAGGGCGGATGGAAGAGACATTAGGGAGGAAAGGAAAGGAGACGAGGGAGGAAATATTTGGGGCCCGCTTTGACCTCCCAAGCCCAGCCAGGTACCTGTCACATGCATCTTGGCGTCACCGTACGCAAAGACGTAGAGGGATTCGTACAAGCGCCTCATCGAATGAAGCAAAAGGAGACCCAGGCCCCCACGGGAGATGCCCGAGAAGGAGGAGGAAGAGGTGGGGAGGGAGGGCGGGAAGGAGGGAGGGAGGAAGGGAGGGTGCAGGGTGTAGAGTAGGAGGATGGCTGTCCACGCGATGGACCAGGCGTAGAAATGCCAGAAAAGCCGCTTCGGCACAGTGAGACTTTGGAACCGCCCAAGAAAAGAGAGAGGGAGGACGGCGTGCTGGCGGGAGGGGGGGACTGGATGGCGAGTGTGGATATTGCGTCTTTTCCGTGATAACGATGAGTTTGAAGCTGCATTTACTGTCTTTGAATCGAGACATCGCGCGGGATATGATCTTGGAGGGGAAGAAGTTGCACAGGGAGGCCGCAGGAGCTTCCCATGGTCTGCCAACGCATCGATAGCAGGGCAGATAAGGGACAGGAGGGCGAGGACAGACATGCCAGCCCAGGCAGTGCGGAGTAGGATGTGGCAATGGGAGAAAAGGAGGAGGAGGAGGCCCGGCATCTGGTGAGGTTGTAGGTTTGGAATGGAAATGGGCAACCGTAAAAGGAAGCGGCGTAATTCTAATCCCGAGCCTTTCAAGAACTCCCTGAAAACGTATAGAAAGGGTTAAATTATACTTTAAAATGACTGAGATCACCTTTCTATTTTTGCCCAACATTCGGAGACATCCTTTTAAGCATATTTTGTTGTTTACGCACGCTGCACGTCGTTCATCGCTTGCACATAGCTTGTGAAAACTAATTGGTATCCCTTCAGATCGACGCAACAAAGACAAGCAATCCACACGACATCAAAATTAATCCCACACATCTCGGGCAATTACGCTGCGAAACTCCCGAAATGTGCTCGTAACAACCCTTTTTTTCCCCTCGACAACAAAATCAAGGGAAAGCCAGGAGGTTATGGTCTTCTCCAACCGGGTCCTTGTGATCGAGACCGCTAAGGGCTTTTCTCCACATTTTCAGCCACATTCTGGCTCGAAATTAACGTATGTCAGGGAGCATAGTCTTCCGACACGGATTGGATTCGCGGTATGCGGTTAGATGGTCGTTGAAGCTAACATTTTACGTCATCCATCCATCCCACAGGAACAAGGGGGGGTAAATAACGGAGCTCATTCCCTGTTAAAACTTTGTTGCAGCGACTGCGATCGGCATTTTAGATCCAGACGCACACAGCATGTCTATACCACCATCATCACGTCCTCCTAGATTCGGTGGCAAAGGCAACGGAAAGCTGGAAATATTCAAATTCGGCCTTTATGTATCAAGTAAGGCAGGAATGGGAGTTAGCAGGAGAGCGATGAGGGAGGAGGGAGGCAGGAGAGTGGATTGGAGAAAGAAGATGATGGAAACAAGAGAAGGAAAGAGGGTTCTCTGCGTCGTCTGTACGCTTTCAACGACCGAGCCAAACCATGTGATAGTGGAAAGCATGCGTACGCTCGTACGTTCAATGAGTCAGATCTTAAAATGCTCTGAGGCATCGCGCTTCCGTTCGCTTCTTACATTTCCCCCCCTTTATCTCTTTCATGTGTCAACAGTTCCAGTCATCGCGTCCATCATCTACGGCACTCCAGATAATATGCAAAATATCGTGAATAAATTCCGTTACGTGGAGTATCCTGCCGAGGATAACCGCGACGGAGACGTACTCGTGGGGCAAAGCATAAGCAAAGAAGAGAGGGCAAGAGCGATGGCTGCCCTCGAAAAAAAAGAAGACATAAAATCAAAAGGAGATGACACTGCAGCTGAGACGAAAAAGGGTAAATGGGGAGGGCTGTGGAAGGCATGAAAGCGCACCAATGAGGCAGCTTCAAGTGTAAAAGACAAATTACCGAAAGCCGTTGTTTTAAATAGACCCACTCCTTTCTCCGGTGGCGGCCCATTTCGTTTTTGCCCTCCTGCCATGTCCCAAAGCAAGGACATGGCATCTCTGGCATCGAACCCGCCAGAGGCCTCGGTGTGTCTTCCTCAGGCCTGGGGAGGCGCAGAGTCGTGGCAAGGGAAGGTCGTCTCCACCCGATGTTCTTTTCCCCCTGTATTCGTCGATGTTTCCCTTGGCCTTTTTCTTTTCATTCAAGAAGACAAGCCAAGCTCCTTGCTTTGCCTCTGCCTCTCTCTGTCAGAATGCCTATCCCGCCCAGACGCAAGGGAATCCATCGCATCGACGTCCACAACCACTCTGTCAGGAAGCCATCCACTCCGTCCGCCCATTCAGCGCGTGCGCCGAAGGATTCGATCCCACCGGTGGAAGTTCGGCAATGAGAAGCCGCGATTCCACGCCGTCCCCGCTCCCCTGACTATCGCCACAAGCACTAGATATACAGGCACATGATTCCAACGGATCCCCACACAATGCAAAATGCGCCCCAGGGCCAGGGGTCCACAGTCGCCTCATCTTTAATTTAGAATAACAGGTCGAGTCCCGACCACAAGCTGGGTGATAGCTCAGCGCCGTTCCGAGACGCCCTCCGTCCACGCCCAGCCCTGCATAAATGACTCCAGCCCTTCCCATGCATGCACATCCACGCAGTGATCCTCTAACCACGAAAGGATGCCCCCCACCTTCACAATCTACTAGGCCGGATATAGCTCCCCCGGCCGCCCTCCCTTACCAGCCCCCTCCCCACCTTCCCCAAGTCCGAGCAGCCGCACAAAATCATGGCCACCTCCGTTTCCCTCCGAAGGATCTCCACCACCCGCCGCACGCCCTCCTCCCCTCCCACCGCCAGCCCGAAGAAGATGGGCTTGCCCAGAAGGACTGCGGTGGCTCCCAAGGCCATGGCTTTCAGAACATCGGTGCCTCGCCTGACGCCGCTGTCGAGGAAGAGGGAGACCACTAAGGGAATGATGGAATACGGGTGGGGGGAGAGGATATAGGGAGGGAAGAGGGAGGGAGGGCGCTGAGACCGAAGGACGGGGGATGGCGGCAGGAGGGGTGGGAGGACAGACACGCTGGGGTATGGCGAGGAGGAGGAGGAGGAGGAAAAGGCTTGAGGGAGCCAGGCTAAATCAAAAGAGAGAACCGGAATAAAAGGCTGAGTATACGGTCAGACTCCTTATCCTGACGCGAGTCTTTCTCCCGACCTCCAACCTCTTCCCGACCCTAACCCCCACCCGAAACCCAAAGCCTTCAGACCCTCCCGCGGGGCGTCTCCGTGCACACTCATCATCCTTTCTTCACCCAACAGAGAAGCCTCCTCACATACATCGAACATGACACACACACACAGCAACAAAGAGCCCACGTCGTGACCAGGCACCGACACACACGGCCCTACCCCTTTGAGATCCCGCCGGGCGCGCGCGAGGTCTTTGCGCCCGGCGGTCCGCGTCGAGAAGAAAACCTTTCTGGCGCAGGGCCTCGGCAATGCCGGGGAGGGCTTCGATGGACGAGATGCAGGAGTCCAATTGTCGGCCGCCGTGGTTGCTGACAATGATGCCGTGGCAGCCTGGGGTTGATGGGGAACAGGAGGAGCACTCAGCGTACTCGACGGTAAGGCTTTAGCTGCCTGCACGTCGACAGTAGCCTCAACCCCTCGACACCCTCCCCGGCCCCCTCGTTGTCCCCCACCTCCATCTTTTCAAGTGTCTGCTGGCGCCTTTTCAAGCGCATTGCCGCGTCACTTAAAGCAGCCTAAGACTAACCCTTACCGTAACCATAACACCTACTCACCGGCTTCGGCCGCCGCGACCGCGTCCTCGGGCGCTACGATTCCCTTGACAACCACAGGCAAGGAAGTCACCGAACACAGCCAGGGCAAGTCTCTCTCGAAGCTGCTGCTTCGGTCCAGCAAGGCTTTAAGGAAAAAGAGACAAACAAGGGAACTGAGCATTTGGCCATCCCTTAGGGCTTCTCTGCATACTTTCGCGTACCTTCAGAATTCTGGTCCCAGCCCCCCTTCATTCTGTCATCATACGCGCGTTTTGTAGGGTAGTTGGCTAAAATCATCCCTTCCGGCAAGCCCGCAAACCCATTCCGCCAGTCAGCTTCCCGGAACCCAAAGACGGGGGAGTCGACCGTCAGGATCAAGGCTTGATACCCGGAAGACTCGGCGCGTCGGACCAAGGACAAGGTGAGAGACC